AACACAATGATGTCTCGTCCGCCTTTTTGTGTCAAATGATCCGAGAATAAAATTTGATCGCTAGGCTCTTTTGAGTTCTAATTGTTAATGAATCGTAATCACCTGACTTTAACGAATTGCACAGCAAATTCATGACATATTCAGTTCCAAACGTCAGTTCAAATTAACTTCGTTTCGATGATTTGTCGAAGCCAACCTTGAGCGAGCGCTGTGTATGCTCCGCTTTTTATTCCGTACAATCGTTTTTCTGTTACAATAATGATCATTGAACCAGTTTTACCGATTGAACAGTTTCTCCTAAGAGATGTTGCTGATTGGCAATTAATTATGCTCCATTGTTTGTCAGCATTGAAGCGACGAATCGATGATTCGATCCGCGATGCGATGACCTCAAATGATTATCGACGAAATTTCAGCGAACGGTTTTATCGTCCATCATTTTCAGTTTATTGCAGTTTTGTCACCTAATAATAATTTACATATTAGTTTCACTCCAATCTGCTTCGTTTATCGTTAGATTATTCGATCACATTTGTCTATTTGAAAATTGATGCCTTTAGCAGATCAACAAAATGAGTTTGTTTGTTATTGTGTTATCATAATGCAATCAGTGAGAAAATTTTATTACAGTGTGAACAAACGGACAAGAAACAATTAAGAAGTTTGGTTTGCATTCAGTTGAAATGTGATATCTTGAATCTGATGAGGTGATTAAATCATTTCAAGAAAAATCTATGGCTCACAAAGCATTGAAGCGAATCTGTGATTCTATTTGATTCATCGCTAATATTTCTTCTCATATCAAGGCATTGTCACAAAACGTTTAGAATGTCATTACTTCTCTACCAGATCAAGTCAAACAGTGAACTTGATTCACAAATCATGCAAACAAACGTACAACGATAGAGATCAGATGCGATTAAGGCGAGAAGACCGTAGAGGCAAACAGTCGCTCCTTTTCTGTGCATCGTCAAAATTGAAAATTTAGTCATCCGACTCAAATTTTTCTCGTCATTGAACTTTTCCCAGCATTTATTTGATGAGTTCAGCAAATTTACTGAGATGGTTGGAATCTTTCAACTTCACTACACCCGTTCCAATTTGATTGGATCTCAGAAACCTCTTTGGCATGTCAACCAACGTCTGTTCTGCCCAATGCAATCGCATTTTAGCAATATCATTCTGAAGCGATGGTCTTCTTTCGGATACGATCGACCTTCGATCACCGTACGGTCCGATCACTTCGTTTGTGCGTTGAACTGATTTTGTTTGCCTAATATTCGTTGCAATTCCTTTGACATATAGTAGGGCTTATCCGGAGTACCGTTGTTTTGTTCGGCATCCTCAACTGCAATCAACTTCTTTACCTCGAAAAATGTTCAGAGTCTTATAAAAAATGTTATTATAGCTCGTTACCAATTCAACTTCACAGAATTCAGTTGTTCTAATCTCGAACCTGACTCACTCTCCACAGATAGTCGTTGTATTCCAAACAACACCTTTGTCAAAAGAACACTTGATAATGTGAAATTATCAACTGAACTATGTAAACTACTCTATTTAATCCGATAAACTGAGTCCATTCGTATTATCTCTGTTAACCATTTACTGGATATCTATTCAGTTTTCAACTGGTGCTAGTGCACTTCATTGTTGTTATATGGTTTAGAAAAATTTTCAAAAGAGAACAGAGGATTCAGAACTGACGAAAGCAAAGAAATGTCGTGTGGACAGCCATTTCGTAGACGTCAAAGAACGAATCGGCAATAAAATAACCACCAATAACAACGATTATTATTGGCACAAAGAAATAGTACAAATCTATATGCGGTAGTCCATCGATTACCCATCGTCCACTGAACCAATAAAACGCCACAACACCTGAAATGCACTCTGCGGGTTCCATCACCTACTAATATCTCTCAGAATGCATCTCAAATGATAATCCAGATGCAAAATTGGCGGTTGCTTATGAAAACCTTACATCTTCCAGCGATTGTTTCACTGGAAACTGATCGAGAAATGAATTTTAACATTGTTTGCAAGAAACCCAGTCTTGTTACTTTAGCGAAAATATGCTAAAGTATTTCAAATTGTTTCGATCTCATGATGCTTGAATCTGATTGAATATCCATTTTATTAAATTGAAAGAGTCATTTTCTTTATAACACGCTATCTGAACAGCACTATAAACTGCTATTCTGGAGCCTTCTGAACGCTTACCCATTCCTAGCGATATGGTTATTTTGCCGAGGAACAGCAAAAAATCGGTGACCTTGTCCAGCACTGCGTAACGCACGATATTTTGTGTGATCAGCATGAAGGAATCACGTGCAGCCGTGCAGAAATTCTTACCGTATATAGCAGTCTGAATGTGGAATGTATTGTGATTTTTCAGAATCCGAAATAAAAGAATCATTTCACCACAACACTCAAACAGCATTTTTATTAATTGGAAGAAACTTAAACTGAATTTTTCTAGTAGTTGATGATTTGAATATGGAAACTGGAAAACATGGAAAATCAGTTGAAAATTATGATCGAATTTTATGATCTATTGATCATTATTTGCATCTGAACACGTTTAAACGTATTCGTAATCGCCTCATTATATTCACGTTCCCTTCAGTTTCCTCATCGTTAAGATGATTTCGAGAAAATATGCACAACTTCGGTTCCGAATTTCGAGGCCAAATGAAACCGTAATGATCTTACTAAAATTTCAACAAGGACTATCGAGAGGACGATTGAACTCTTCCAAGACTCACCATTATATAAGCGTTCCGAGTTAAAAACCTCAAGAATGCCTCCAAACACCAAAAGAAGCACTTCATGCATCTGCAATTAACACATTCATTGTCAGTAAGCACTGAAGTCTCATGAATCGATTCACTGCACAGGGAATAAGAATAAACTTACAATAGAATCACCCTTGCTAGTGCATTCTGTGCATTGCTCAGTTTCCGGTCAAGATAATCCAGTATAGCACGGAAGAATTTAACTATGGCCAGAATCAACGATCCGAATGCAATCGTTCCAAGATGATATCTGGAAGATATTTGTTATTCCGTTCGGTGAGCTTGAAATTTCAAATTTCTCTGTCAGATCTTCTCACAGCTGAATTTCTGAAGCATAATTCCGTGAAATTCCTGCACTTCTGAACTATCTACTGAATGTTGAACTATGATTTCGGATAGTTCGAATGGGAAGTTACCCAAATTTCTATGAACATCTAAGGAATCATCATTTCCGTTCGAACTTCAGATTCCATCATTCACCACGAATCTGTTGGGGATACAGTGCAGTCAAGAACGGAACAGCGTGATTTCAGAACGAAAAAGTGATATATTAGGCACAGAAGAAAACTTCTATTCAGCCAAAAAAAAAAGATATGCTTAATAGATCTCTACATGAAATCGAATAGTTATTCTCTTAACAACGACCAGCTGGTAAATATGCCTAAATATTTTTTATCAAGTGGTAGTAGTTCACCTGACTGCTCTTCCTAACGAGCGTGTTATTGGGAATGCCGGAACATCTTTGGGTTTATTGAAAGCCCAATAGTAACTGGCAAATGCGCCCGCAAGTGTCATATTGGCTAACGCAGATACGAAACAGCTTATCCAAAAGAAGCCGAACAAATTGAACGCTTGCATCCCAAATAAGAGTTGATCATTTCGTGTCATATTCACAAATTCGCAATCGGAAATCTAGAATTGCTCATAAAATTTCATTCGTATCAAATACGGAAATTGAAAACAACTAATTGTAAGGAAACTTCTTAAGAAATTTGCATTCTTTGGTTGTTTTTAATGGGATTTAGGAATTCTTTACTTTTAGATAATATGAATGCGATGAGTTGCAATATTCGAGTTTATTGTTGGGAATTTTAATGAGAGGAAGGCATGAATGATTTGTAAAATAAAACAAAAATTTGTCAAAACATACAACATTCAATCCAGTGCCAAGTTTTGTACAGTCACAAGGGACTCCATCGCTGAGGTTACCACCTTCTCGGCGTGGCTTCAGGCAATTCTCTGTGCCAGACGACGACAACCAAATGGTAACAGTCGCCCACAGGACAAATACCAACAAATGAAGAGCAAACGGTAATATTGGAAAGAACAGTGCGGACATCATCGAGCCTATTGCTCTGCAAACCCAGACTTTCATGATCTATGTACGCCTCAAGTGTTTTATCAGATTTTCGGCTGAGGTTTAAGTAACCCTCAAGAAATTCATTCAAACAACGCTTCAAAAATCGTAAGGCAGCTGCTCTGTTTCCTCGAAAAAATTCTTTCTGCATTGTCTTTATGAAGAAATTTTTGTGAGATGTGACACCATGCATCCTCTGAGAACAATTTCGTGTCATTTAGATTATAGTTGACGATCACTTTAAGAAATTATGTTTAGCAATCGTCTTTCAGGAATCGCTATTTTACTCCACGTTTCGCATAATTTTGCAACGTTTTCACAAAATGTAATTTATGAATTTTAGTAGAATCGCAACTAGTAGAGTTTCAACGATTGATCAGTGATTTACAATTGAGCGTTCATGTGAATGCTGTTCGATGGACTGTTCTAAGGATATTTTGGGCTGGATACTCAGAAGCAATGCTTCACCAGACAAAAAACAAATTCGATTAAGTCAAAAAATTTGACTCACTTCGATGACTCTTCAATTAGGGCAACCGCAAGTCGTATTCGTGCACGTACAACCACCAATATGATAAGCACAATGAGAAAAAGCACACTAAGGATAATAGCTGAAAATTTCTCCTATCGGATCATTAGGCGAAGACTGTAGATCATAAGCAATCTCAGTTAATAATCATTCTCGCGTACAAATAATATGTGGTACTATGGCAAAGCTTTCAGTTCTCTGATAAATTTATTCTGATGAGAATTTCTCTGAATTTGAAGTGTTGATGTTCATGAAATGAACTCGAATATTNCATTGCCTGCAATCTCAAAAATACCAAGCTGACTTCAAAATTCTATATCTTTCTCAAACAGCCCATTCAGTTTCTATTCGGCAATCATGACTGTTAATAAGGATATCCAGTTTAAGTTAACAACGAGAAATACACACCAATAATCATCCATGTAGTGGGCATTTCAAAATATGCTCCAATGTCAGGCTGAAATGAATAGTCTGTTATCGCGCCAGCATCAAACAATATCTTGTAACGATACCAACAGTATCCAGAACCTAAAATTAAGACTTTAATCGATCAAAACTTCAGCATGTTCTTGAAAATTCATCCATCATCATTCCGGACACAGGTTTTAAAATTCAAATTCGCATTATCTCGTAGCATATCGCTTCTATATGGTTTTGATTCGCATATTCTATTTGAAGATAAAATATTCCGTTATCAGACAGTTAAAGTTTCAAAGAAGTTTCAAAGTATTTGGCTATTTCCCGCAACAACTGCAAAGAATGTTGCCATTTCAAACTGTTTAGGTTGATGAATGCCTGACGATTTGTCAGGAAAATGAACCGATAGCACAATCTCACCGGCACCGAGGATCGCAACGATCAGAAGAATGGATACCCAAACTACGTATCTGCCCAAAAGTCGCATTCCAATCACCCAAACGAGTGCCACTAAAGCGGTGATGACGAAAAATGCGAGAATTTGCCACCATGTGGCACTCATATCGAAAGCGATCTTCTCCAGCATTGTTTTTTGATCCATATATGCACCCAAAATCCTGCAAATATTTCGCTACACTTTATATGTGATTACAAATTTCAGCGCTGCCCCAAACGCTGTTATCACTATATCAATGTTTCTCAAAATGCTTCGCGTTTGAGGAATGGTAAATTTTGAAATTCCGCCGGAGAACCGTAACGTAGAGGTGAAGCATCAATGACTCAAGAGCAGTTCGAAGCGTTGTTGATTCAAGCGTAAACTCAGTGTCCAAAATTGGGATATTCCAGAGATGAAATAAGAATTCTGATAGTTGAACCTATGATCAATGCTAAAGAAGATAAAATGTCAGCACTTTGCATTCACAAATGAAATTTGGAGAAAAATTTCTCTAGTGCAGTGGTTCTCAAGTTCGGGTACTCTACTACCCCTTTTGATGATCTGTCTGGCCACCATTACCTCTCCCCCCCCCCTTTATTAAATATGGAAATCGCACATATTGTGTTCAGATGACCGCTACGTTCAATCTTATTAGCGCATCCATGATGGTAATCGAGATCATTGGGCCTTCTCTTAGACCATTGTTCAGTATTGCAGTCGATTATGATTGCATGAAAAGCTATTGTCTATGACACTTCAAACTGTTTTGCATGATTCTCATTCTTTTCAGACGTGTTGTATTCGCTCTCATAGCTATCACATGCGAATGTCGTTCTATTGATTTGTTTTTATCATTCACTTCGTCTCAATTTCACTTCACAGTTCAAATCAACTTCTCATTCTGTAGCATATACTATTTATTGGATGCGTTGACGAGTGTTGACAGCCGAAATCAACAATACAACAATAGAATTGAATTGCTGAACAACATTCGACAGCCAAATGATGAATTATAGAGTGCACTTGATAGAATGAGAATTTGACTTTAATTGTTGAGTGAAATGAATGAGAAATTAGCAGAAGAGAATACTTTTGGTGATAAAAGTTATGAGAGCGATTACAACAGTTCGGAAAAGAATGAAAACCCTGTTAAAACGAATGAAAACCTTGTTAGACCAGGACGAGCTATTGAGACTCAAAAAATATGAGAATGAAAAGTGTTGCCATCAACTAACCGCATTTACATATCCAAGTTAAAAAACACCATCATAATGGCGTTTTATCATAACACAACAACTGCACCAAACACTAATTTCCCGACCCCCGCCATTACCCCTTGACATCTCCTAATTACCCAAAATGGGTAGTTTCATCCTCCACGAGAACCACTGTTCCAGTGGGATGAGGTGTGCCAACATGCTACTAACCGTGAGGTGTTTGCGATCTTCTTATCGCTCGGAAGAAGCCCATTCCCATCGCCGTACACCGAAATCAAGCGATCCAACGATGAATTCGCGGCTTGTAGTTGATTGATTGCACTGCCCAAATTCAAAATCGCTTGTGGTATACAACGACCTAGTACTGAAACGAATTATTGTCAACAGCATCGATTCACCATCGAAGATGATGACTTCTTTGATTTTCTATTGATACCTTCGATTGAGACGGCCAATTTTGTATGTAACCGTATGAAAGTGATCAGGGAACATCCATGGGTTTCAGACGGGTGTATCATTCAATCTAAGCACTTAATGTGCCACAGGGATGAACTGGAACCCCGATAAGACGAGCACTCGATAATTTTCAAGTGTGCGTATCTATCTCACAATAAGGCTCAATTTTACTGACCACTGAGATCTAGGAATTTTCTGACATTGTGCTGGAGTTCAACATTAGACAAAGCAAGAATCGTATATGTTAGCCTGGGCTGTCGTCCCTTAAAACGTTGGGTCCTTTCATTTTTTCATCAAATTACCATCGATCAATCAGTGGTGAAAGTGTTATGGTTCACTCAATTTCATTCGGTTATTCGCTGGTAATCTTCCGGTATTTTTGGTCAGTTTGAACGCATTTTCGGCAAAGATTGTAGTTCAGAACCACACCATGGAGAGAAGACAAAACAATCAGAATTCACTGAATTTTTCATTCAGAAACAGCAATAACAACAACAACGAACC